AAAAAAAAACAAACAAACAAAAAAAAAAAAAAAACAAGTTTAGTGTTTTCAAAGACAGTAAGCCTGTTCTCTCTTTCATTATCTAGGCATTAGAGAAAACAACGAACATGACTCTAGGACAGATCTCTGTCAAATTCTATTCTATACATTCTTCTGTTTTTACTGGTAAATCTTTTATAATTATCCATTTATCTTTTTATATTTTTCTATAAAATTTCCTTAATTTGCTGTTCCACTGTAACGATATACTAAATTGTCATCATGTTTGCTACTAGCTTCAGATCAACGGTTGTTTTCATTAGGTGCCTTTGGAAAATTTCAACTACATTTATGATCTCTCTCTGGGTTACACTTCTGTGGAAAAACTCCCACTTCACACTATAAGCAAGGCTATAAGTTTGCTTTTCAGTGAAATGATTTGTTGGTGTATAGTAATGATGAAAATGCTAAATAGGTTATATAACATATGTAATATTCTTCCATAAAAGTCTATACACCCTAGTTGATAATTATAAAAAAGTTTTATAATTTTTCTTGGAAAAAAAAAATTCCTTTCACTATTTTGATTGAATGTTTATTTAATTATTATTATTCACAGTATTGATCAAAAAGCTTACCTAGCCTAGCAACTGTTTGTTTACCAGCATATACTGAATTGCCAACTATCATAATGTCTTTGCCATGTTTGCATTACAAAAGCCACCTTCTGGGATGTTAAAAGGCTTGGAAGTTTATAGTAATGCTCCTTGTAATTCTTCTGTACATTATGGAACCAAGGACTGGCATGGACAAATGTAGAAGCAGTCCTGACATACCTCAATGTCAAAAGTAGCACCACCTTTTCAACAAAGATATAAATATATAGTCTGCTTAAACCTGAAAAGAGCACAAGATGCTTTATTAATATCAGAAATTTCTTGTAGAAAGCTTTGCAATATCTGACCATAGTATAATGGAAAATCAACAGGACCTTATGCAAAACTGAAAATATAAATTTTTAATTTTTTTTTTTTTTCATTTCTAACACTGCACAAGTTCATATTTTCTAACTAGTGATGCTCAAGACATTGACCTTGGACCAGAAGAACAGCAGAACAGCATTTTCACACAATATTTAAAGATAAAATGTTAGTGATATAGCAGTCAATAGTAATACATTTCAATTGAACAGTATGAAGAAGTTTCTCTTTTTCTTGTTGCCTTTCTAAAGAATATGCATGAAAATTTGGTTGGGGATGCACACAACTTTAAAAATTCATAACTGCTTATTTTGAAATAAATATTTGTTATGTTTTCCCATAGACTTTGAGTTATTTTATTTTTATTATGTAGGACATATTTAGGAAAAAGTAACGAACAAAATATTGACTAAGAAGTTAGGACACACTAGCTTCAAGCTGCATTTGTGAACCTTCTGTTTAAAAAAAAAAAAAAAAAGAAAAAAGGAAAAAAAAAGAAAAGAGAGATAATTTACCAGAAACACGAAATGTTTTATTTAACCGTATAGTCACAGTCTTTTCAGAGCCTACGTCATTGAGCACTACTTAGAAAATACATGTCAATTTATCTTCTTTATTTATCTTATCTTGCTATAAAATAACCAGTAGAACATCAGTTCTAGTTGCTTGGGTTTGATTTCCATGTCCTGGATTACTATAAGCTAATATAATCAGGTAGTTGGACATACACAGCAAGAGGTTTAGCTTTGATGTTATTTCTTCCATCTTGTGATAAGAATATAGTATGGATAATACATATAGTATGTATAATGAACTTCATGTTCATTAAATTCAGTTATAGAAGTTAATTATATCTTAATTCTTAAAAAGTGACTGTACACAGTGACAGATAATTACAAATCCAAGACAAAACATAAAGTTTCTTATAATCTCACATTAAAAAACTGCTTGAAAATTGACACAGTAAGCAGTATGACATCCTATTTACACATATATATAATGAAGAATGCATGTTTTTATCTGATTCTTTCACTCATTGTGCCATCCTTAAAATCAGGTCCAGAAGAAGTACAATGTAGAAAATAAATCTAAATATACTCTGAGATTTCAACTTCAATAGGTGGTCAGTGTTATGCCAGGGTAGTTTACCAAGTCCCAAAAGAACTGAAAGAACTCTGTAGCTCAGTATATTATAAGGTATTTCATTGAGAAGGCCAAGTTCACTTTTGTTTAACATGTTTTACTTTTAAAGAATAATTTGTGAAAAGCAGAGACAGGTCTGAAATTGGATTTTGGAAACTCAGGTGTGGTAATGTGTTTCTATTTCAAGATCAATCTCCAGATGGCCTTCAAAATTAAGATCATTATGCCCACATAAGCTTAATATATGTTCCATAGCCATTTCTGACATAGTTTTCCTTAGCCAGTGTATTTACTACTATACAAAAACCCTATCACATTAACACAGATTGTATATTGACTGTTGTGTTTTGGTACATATTTACCAGATGAATTAACCTTTGTGACTGCTGGGACTAAATAATGAGTATGATAAGTGAGCTATCTGAGCAAGGAAGGAATGGGTGCCTTCTGCCAAGGGCTTGTGAAGATGAGAGTGCAGAAGACAGAGACGACAGAGGACAGGTCAGAATACATATTCCCAGAGCACCTGAAGAAGTGTTGGGGAAATAAAAAAGAAGTATTTTTGCAGAATGGTAGGTTCTGCTACAACGCAAGGCTAGACCTGCCCAAAGCAAATTGTGGTCTAAAGCAAAGAAAAATAGCCCCATGACCTGGGACATTCAAAAAAAAATGTGTCAGGTGAGTAAGGGAGAGAAGCAAATCTACCTGCCAACCGTAGACTGAGATAAGGAGACATTTATCATGCTTACTGAGATTATTTCTTCTTGCTACCTGAATATAAAGTGAGGAGTTCTTTGGAATCTCACAAAAAGTTTTAGCATATCACATGCTACATTTCAAGTACAACACTCTGTAGGGGAAGAGTGGAAGACCCATCAGTAGGCAACTAGCACATTTCTGTCTACACCTTCTAGTTCTGCAAGTTGACAGAAGCATTGATTGAGTCTTTTATTCACTCCACTGGTGACCGAACACTTTCACTCACAAATTGCTACACATAGATCAAAATATTATGACAAGATAAAGAACATCAGAAATCACTGTTAACATGAAGGTGGGGTATGAAACAAGGGTTATCTTTAATAATAAAGGATGACAGTGGCAACAGTAACAAAACCAGAAAGTAAGTCTAAAACAAACTTGCTGACACTCCAAAAGCTTTATTTTCCTTTACACCAGCTGCCATTTCTGCTTTTAGGATAGATCTTCTCTTCCTCTTTCTTAATCACTATTTGCCTGTTTCTGAATTCATGTCTTCCTCGTTCTTTCCAGTTTTAACCTACTCTTTCTGTTCCTCTCTTTACAGTCATTTTCCTCATCCTTGTTAAAATCAGGTTTCTCAATAAAGTCCAGTATAAGCTCTTAATTCCCTGGTTTCTTTGTCCTTTTTTTACTCATTTGCCATTCGTCTCTGAATTAACCCATTAACTATTAAAACAAACATAATGCAAGCTCCTTTTTAGTTCCACAATGAGCTGACACTGCTGATTTTCTATGAATCATTCCCTCTTCAAGCTATCATTTGATTTAGTGTCTTTATCCACTATAATTCTTGCAAACTTCACCCAGCAGCAGAATTCCTAATGTATAAATTATTTTGTAATCCCTCCTGTCTTTTTATTTATGCCCATTAAGATACTGATTCCTGACCATCAGTTTCTACAGCCGAGGTCCTTTGCCCATTATTCTAGCCTAAGTTTTAAATCAAACTCAGATTCCTCTGGTTTAGCAACCTTCAGCTACTGAATGAGCTAGGAGAAATGCCATAACCATACTGAACAAGAAACTCCCCTCCTTCCTCAGTTCTCCTACCCCACTGCACTCTATCCATTATTTCTATTTTTCTGAATATTATACAGTCTTATTACAGTTGTACAGTTGCTCTTCTCCATTTCACCATCTCTTTTCTTCTTTTCACCAGCAGGTTTGTTCACTTAAATTGAAAAAAAAAAAAATACTTTCTAAAAAAACATGTTAATGTTATTTCATTAATATAAGCTTTTCACTGTCCTAAATGTACACAGACAATAAAATGCAATCATCATGCACTATACAAAGGAGGGGGAAAAAAAATCCCAAAGCATTAAGCACAGTTTTAAATATATTTACCAATTTTAAGATTCGTAGCTATTCACTCTATGCATTTACACAACCCCACAACATAAAAGTGCTCCTTCTAAATAAAATACCCCAGGCATTTATTCCTTTCACTATCCATTTCTTCAGTTTCTAACTCATAATGTTTCATGGCAACAAAGTATCGGATAAAAGTTTCACCTAATGCTTCCTTAATGCATGAATCTTTCTCTAGTGCAACAAGAGCATCTTCTAGTTTCAGAGGGACTGATGAATGTTTTAGATCAGCAGTGTGATTTTCTTCTTGGAGCATGTCATCATACCTGAGTCCTCTCTTCACTCCATCTAGTCCTGCAGCAATAGTGGCAGCAAGCACCAGATATGGGTTTGCTGTGGCAGAACTTAATTTATTCTCTATGAGAGTGCCTTTTCCACCATGGCATTTGACATTAAAGGCACAGCTGTTATCATTATATGCCCATTTTGCATTTACAGTCTCTTTTGATTCTTTACTGTATTTAGAATAAGGCTTACGGCAGCTGGTAGTAGGAGCCATCAAGCAGCTAATAGCTGCTGTGTGTGCCAACAGACCCGATAACCAATTTTTTCCAATATCTGAGAGCTCCTCAACTCCATAACCAGCAGAAAACAAGTTCTTCTGCCCATTCAGATCCCACAGGCTATGTGACAGAGCCCCTGAATTGTAGAAGCCCGATTCTGAGAAAAAGCTAGCCACGTAGTTATACTTCTTAGCCACCTCTTTAATGCCTGTTCTAAATGTGAAGGCACTGTCAGCAGCATCTATGCCAAATTCTGGATGAAAAGTGATCTCCATTTGCCCGGGCCCACTGGAAGAAGAAAAGCTTTCAATGTTGGCACCAGCATAATACATTCCTTCAATGAGCTCCTGAATGAAAGTCTGGTCATGGTTATTTAGTATCGTGGCTGCAGGGAAGGATATTGTCTTCGAATTTACAACCTCAGTGATGCCATAAATACAAAATTCATAAGTGAAGGCAGACTGGAGAGAGAAGCCGTTGTCCTGAAGCTGACTCAGCTGTTTCTTGGCAATGTGCCTGGGGGAGGTCATGAGGGGGTTGCCCAGCACGGTGAAGGAATCGCATATCACTCTCGCAGTCTGCTCAGTCCAGGGCAGGATGCGGAATGTTGATAAATCAGGGTTCAGGATTATGTCGCAATTAAAATTGGTCGCGTTTATATAATCGAATTCATTATCTTTAGGATTCAGTGTCAGCTCCAGATAGCTTCTGGGCATGGCCACACCATGAATTGCTTTCTCCTAAACACAGAGCAGAATGACAGATTAACAAAAGAGGAAACAACCTAACAGTATTTTTATGTATGTAAAATAAATAAAACTCAGACTCTCAGTAAGAACAATAGTATTTTTCTTAAGAGAACACTAAAATCCAGTGATCCCTAAAGTGGAGGGCAACAGCCAGTTACTGTGCCTTTGTGAAGTAGAAAAACTTTCTACAAGATTGGTAGGAAAACCCTGGCATCAAGTACCCCAATGATGCAATTTCCATAAAGAACGAAAAAAAACCTCAACACTTGCATTCAAATCTTTCATGGTATTTATACAATTATGGGCATCACCAGTTAGGTGTGAAAGTTGCAAGTCAAACTTCTATCCATAGTTACTCTATTAGGCTTCCACACTCTCTGAGCCATATCCTCCATATCCTTTACATAGATCCAAGTGATCACAAAAGACTTATGGATATATGAATTTAGGCTGTGATTTCTCTTTAAATGTTACAACATATACCTCACTGTTTTCCAGATACAAAGTTTAACTGAAAATTCTCACTTTATGGACTTAGTAAGTTTGGGAGTAAATGCAGGAAAGCATTTCTAAGTGATAAATTATTCTAAAGTTTTGGTAATTGCCACCCTCTAGGTAGCAGTCAGGATATAGTTAGACTCCTCCATTTGAACAAACTTCTGCAGCATACATACAGGAAATGTAGATAGAACCCCAAGGAAGGACCATCTACCTTCAAAAAAACAGCTTTACAATTTACCTTACATTTAAACCTTTAGCTGATTAAAAGTGCCATCATGTCAAGTTCCATCAAGTGAAACCTGGCTCAAGTTTACATCTTACCTGTATTCTTCTAAGGGAAAGAATTACCATCTGAATGAGCAGAGACAGAAAAAGCCTAGAAAGGGGTAAGCTCAGAGCTGCAAAAATAAAATTTTTCCTATCCAGATGGAAAACGGATTAAATGTTTCAAACTGTATACAATGGCTTCTCTTAAAATAAATGAATAAATAAAGTCTGCCTTCTCTTAAGTAGGTGGCAGTTCAATGGTAGCAATCCTCCCTGTGTGACACCCACAAACAAAACTGCACTGTAGGGTGAATAATGCTTCAAGATGTCTAAGCTGTCCACTTGACGTGGAAAAGGTGTTGAAGGCAACCACCCTTGTATCTTTCCCTCCTACAACACCCAACACCAAAAAAAAGGAAAAAAAAAAGGGAAAAAAAAAGGAAAAAAAATTACTTTCCACTGCTCTGCATGAATACATGCACGTGTGTGTGGTTTTTTTTTTTTTTTTAGTGTCTAAAATTTAGACTGTCAGGCAAAGCTCCAGTTTCTTCAAATAGCGAGGTAAATACAAAAGTTGTCTCTGAACCAGCTGATCTAGAAATTTGCAATTTCACATAGCAACTAAAAGAGAAGATACAATTAACCTACCACCCCTCACAAGAATTAAAAGTTTATTTTGATAAAATCCAAATGACATCAGAAAGCAAATTGTATCTAGATGATACAGTAGCAGTTTAGTAGTATCTAAAAGGGAAATAACAAAAACACAGCTTAGGCTTCAGAAGATACTTGTAACAAAAGTGCTCTATGTCTTTTCATGTTCCACTTTTTTTATGACCACTCAGGAGAGCATAAACTATTCATAGTGAGTAAAATGTAGTTATGCACATGAAGTTATCCACAGAAGCAATATACTGAAAAGTCTGATCGGTCAAGGATGCACATGATGAGGATTGCTGCCTAACTTGGTTCTTGTTTCCTGAGTCATCAAGTCATCACATAACCCAATAGTATTTTCTTAAGGTATTGATAAATATAAAATTTCTCATAGCTAAAGTGATTTTCATCCAGTCATTTTCTTTTTTTCCTTGTTTATCCCTTTCTTTTTGCAATTTACTGCAATTTACCGATGTTCAGTAAAATAAAATCTTTATAATGCATTGAACCTGAAAAGATAATTCTGAGGGAAGAAATTATTAGAACTTCAAATAACTGAAATTGCTAGCCTTATTTAGTTAGATTACTGTTTGAGGGACCAGAAGAATAGATGATTGCAGAGATGAAAAAAAAAATCTGGATACTTTGGGAACATGAACAAGTGGAGGGAACAGATAATTTGTTCTAAGCTTAAGTTTCTGTCCACACTGTGAAAAACAAGTAAATAAATAAATTAAGGACAGGGCCATGAAAGCACATAAAGGTACAGCCAGAAACAAACAAACAAAAAACTTACATGAAAAAAGCGAGAAGGAACATTCTTTGATCTTGACACACCATGGAGGTCTATTGATTCAAATCTGACAAACTGTATGCTGTCCCTGGCCATCTGCTGCTTAATGAATTCAATATGAGAGAAGAGGTGAAGGAGAGTTGGACTTCCAAGGCCGTTTACATCAGGCTCTCTGCTGGACGCTATAAGTGAAGAGGAATGTTCACATCAAACAAAATAATGAATGCTGGAATGCAGGCTGTTCTCCTAAAAATTACAATGGTGGGAAACTGTGACACAGAGTATTAAAACAAAAATAAGAAAAAGATATGGATCACAACATATTTTTAAAGACTTTTTTTTTTTTTTTTCCCCTGGGGACCTGTATAAAATCCATTCTTTTTTGCGATGGTCTATAACTTAAACTTTTTTTCAAGTTGATAAGAGAGCGCAAGGGATTAACGTTGTAAAGCCACAGATTTCTGAGGGACACCTCAGCTGTTTTGTTGAGTGGTTTTAGGAGCACAAATAGGAACTGGATATCTATTTCCCACTGAAAGCAGATAGAATTCAGATGCTGTATTTTTTTAATGCCTTTGAAAAATGCATGGGTACAGAAACAAGATAAAGAGGGCACTTGTCTTCTACTAAACCTTTCTCAAGACCTCCCGAGGAGGACTGCAGTCTTCTACACCACAGGCAGCAGACTTTTAAGAGAAGTTTACACGTTTATGCATTTGCTGTTACAGAGTTATCTTCTTAACTGTATTACAGCAACTGTAGGACTGTATAAACTTCTTGACATGAAAGCAGCAACCTCTGAATATAACGTGTAATGGAGCTGAGAGCTGGGCAGAAAAACTTCCTTTCACAAACCTCTTGATCTTGCAGCCTGTTTTTCTTTTGAGTTTCTTTTAAGTTAAACTATGCAAGGTATTAATTTCCACTTAGTACAATAAACCAACAGACCAAGACTAAAATTTGGTAATAAGATATGAAAAAAATGAGAAAAAAAAAATGTTTCTTTCTGCATTTCTGGGAGGAGAGTCCTCCATTCTTCTGGAGGGTATGATTAGATGAAGTTTCGCAGATCTTTCAGATCCACAGTGGAAGATCACCAACAGCAGTCATTTACCACCGTACTTCAAGTGGAATTTAAAAGCTTCATGCTGAGGCACTGCTCCAAATTTCTCCAGTACTGAATTACCCAAACTAGAGTAGATGTCCTTTAGCAGTAGCCAGCAGCACGAACACATCTTTCTGACCTTTTCTTTGAGGCAAGTAGAACTGCCAGCTGTGAGGTTGCAAAAAGGCTCTCCAGTTAGCCCAGCACAAGGGTATCTGATTATTCCCTGAAGAGGAAGAAAACTCATCCACAGCCATCAGCTTCTTGGAGTCATTGAATATTACTGGAACATCCTCCAGCTTCAGATGGCAAGGAGGTGACAAGGATACTTTAGGTCAGTAAAGTAAGAAGAGGTGAAGTAATAACAGTGCTCCCTGAGGAGCAAGAGGTGGAAGCTCAGGAGAAAACCTGAAGTAAATACAAGATTCTATAGAAAACAGAGTAAAAAATGGAAAATGTAAAAGCAAGGAAAAAATAATTTTGTCAGATCCACTTCTTGTGACATCTTTCCTTTTGATCTGCTTCAGCTGTAAGCTGCTTATGGAAATAGCTTTTTTCCACTGTCCTGTCCTATAAAATGAGGGCATCATATCCTTTAAAAGATGTACATTAAATAAGGAAGTCCTGTTTAAACATTTTGTATAATTCTCACTCTGTTACAGACACTGTCAAAGCACAATAGAGAGCAGGGACAAGAGGCAAACTGTTCTTGTCTTGCACATACCATCCTAGTAATACATATGTGGATACCACTTCAGTCACTAACATCATTTTATCACATAAATGTTTACTGACATTTCGCAGATTTGACCTCTTTAAGAACCTGACCACCAATTCAAAGTTTATTAGTGGCTAGCAAATGTGGCTATTTATTAGATTAATAGAATTTTTTTAAGATTCTTCCTACATATTACAGCACGTAGCATTTTCTTAAGCTCCAGGGACAGAAGCCTAATGTTTTTGCCTTTGAAAAAGCAGTGTTTAAGCCTTCATTCAACATGTGTTTCATTTCCTGCATAAAGATGGTAGATGTTTCCTGCCTACCACCTGTCACACAGAGATTTTTATGTCTTCATATTATTCAAAGCACAGTTTGACTGACAAACCCTGACATCAGACTATTGTCAACTTTTGATGTAGATTTTTCAAGTAGTTCTTATAATGTCCTAAAATGTTGTCTGTTTAAATTTGCATCTACTGAACAAGCATCTTTCAGAAAAAAAAATATAATTCATTAAAAACAACTTTAACTCTGACCCAAGTAACTCTTTAAATCAGTGTTCCTAAAATATAAATGATTTATATAAATGATATAAAATCAAGATCTAAGAAAAACACAAATGTGATATTCATTCATATTAAAGATGTGTTAATTTGTTTAAAAAGTAAAACTACAAATATAATTAATTTATACATCAACCAATAATACGAAATTTTCCACATTTTACGTATACCTTCTGTCTTCAAGATAAAGTTATTTAATAAGTGTATAAATACATAATTAGGTTATATGAAATAACATAAATTAATGGAAAATTCCTATGAAATAATGTTTTTAAAAAATATTAAGGAAGCTAAAATTATTATCTGAAGAAGCAAGAATCTGTCCTCTCCAGTTGGACTTGTTATGGTTAATGATAGATTTTTTTTAATTTATGAGACTAAGATGTATATATTGGTCTAATATATCTAAAATTAGTCTATATATCAGTCTAGACAGCCTAGTAGTCAAAAGACAGATACCTACTCATTTACAATACTCATTACCCAAAATCTGTTAGAATCCATAGAAAAACTCCTGCAACTTTTACATACTTTTTAGAGGCAGTTCATCTCTCATATCGTTTGCAGATTATATTTCCCATTGAAATAATAAGTTCTTGTAAATTGTATGATAGATGAAAAATATCATCATGAATGAATATCTCTGAATGATTTTGGAAATACCAAAGGGGGATTTGTTTATTAAATAATATTTAGTGAATCACTACTGACAGTACTTAACTTTTTTCCAACACAGGTCCCAGAATATATTTGCTTGGTAGTCACTAAATAAATCACTGGCAAGCTAAGTACATGAAGCAAATGACGACTAATGTTTGGAAAGGTGTAATAGGGAACTGAGTACTCTGTCTTTTCCCAGTTCATATAGTCATTACCCAGAACATTAGTTACTAGAGATAATGTAGCTAATAAATATTAGACAGGTCTAGCTGATTTAGATACACAGGCTAAAAGTCTTACATTCTTATGAGGGAGGGCTGTGTTCATAAGTATAACTGTTTCTTTAGCTTTCTGGACTGCTAGAAGTAGTGGCATCTTGATTTTCATTTCAGAAAACTTACTTATGGGAAAATACATGTAAACTTCACAAGCTGCCGGAATTTGGTTGATTTTAATTTCAAAAATCAAATACAAATCCAGACTGGCCATCTTTCTTAAAGCAGAATGGTACATACAGCCTTAGATATCTAGAGAGATACAGACTTTGATATCTATCTTAGATATCAAATCAATAGTACCCAGCAAAGCACTTACTGTTTGTTTTTTTACAGTTCCACCCATATTCCCCATTTAAGTTACCACTGAGAAACAATTAGTACTACTCATGTTTCTTTTGTAATTGGTACAAAATATATACAAATATAAACAAATTAACTTCACATATTTAAAACAGATTAATAATACAAAGCTAAAAATATTACCAAAAATCTACAATTTATACAAATTATATTTTTATTATTATTTCTATCAGAAACGTGTCATTCTTAGATAATTAATATTTAAATCATTCAGACTGCTGAGGGCAGCTGACACTGGGCTAGGAAAAAAGTTAACATCAGCTTTATCTTCTCAGCAACAGAAAAGTACCACAACAGAAGAATAGTGCACATGTCCCAGATCAATCTGTCATTACCTGCTTGTTCAAAGAAATAATTTCCCTTGGTCCCTTATTAAATCACACTGCATCAAAAGCAAACAATTTCTTAGCTCTATAAGGGGTGGATGTGTCAAACTGATGAAATGAAAAGAACATGCTACAAGTTATCAGGGGAGCTGACAATGAAAGAAACAGGCTGACCTAACAAAAGTTGCAGTATTGGAAACTCTTCGCTGAAAAACACGGCCACCAATCTAAGGCAGTAACAGCAGACACTGACAGGGAGACTCCACATACAAATCATGCACTGGAGAAGGAGAATTGTTTACATCAGTCCTCCTCCACTCTCTTCCTCCCACTACCTCTCCACCAGCACTAGCTGTGCCAGATGTTTTCATTCCTGATACAACCCTGCTTCAGCCACCCAGCGGCTGCCCATACTACACCGCACCATGAGACAGGGTCTGGGCATGGCCGAGACCCAAGCAGCATCAGAGCACACGTCCCTGTGCTCTGGGGCATATTGTGGCACCCATTATTGTCTCAGAGCCGTAGGGGAATAAAAATTCTTGCAAGTGTAGGAATTGATATGCCAGTCAAGGCAGCGTTCCATCACTCTAGATCTGTCTTTGGCACCGGTTATTAACAGGAAAGGCAAGATGTTCTTTGCAAGGTAATGGGTCTAAAAAGGATGGGTTTTGCAGTTCCTTCCCTGAGAAGGAGGTCTCGTGGTTAGGAGCAGAAGGGTTAATATCTAAATTTGTCTTAATTTCTTCTTGATCCTTAAAAATCTAACACTGCATGCTCCACAGATCTATATGAATATTGACCCCCTTTATAAGACCAAATACCTTGTGCTGATGATTTCCACCAGCAGTGTCTGACAGGGTAATCACATATCTATACTCTTCTCAATTTTATGAGAATTCCTGCCAGTACTAATTTAAATATGTCTGCCCTCCCTTACAGGACTCTGCTTCGTGTGTTTAAGAACAGCCAGCCTACTTGGCTTGTACAGCATGTTACTGTTCTCACATTTCTCTTCAAACATCAACAGCCTCCATTTCTCCAGCCTCATATGTCCACTTCTCCTGTGCTAGATATCATTCTTATTGCTAATATGTAAAGCCTTTCTTTTCTATTCCTCTCTGGAGCTTAACATGGCAAATAGACAGGAGTACTGGCTTACATTTGAA